GGTGTGCTAACGCATACTTTTGATATACGTGTAACATTGCGACCAGTTGTATAGCACTGTATAGTATGGTAAATGCTGTAAGATCATGTTTTTTTAATCTCTCCCTGTGGACTCATCGAGCACGGTTCATATATAATTTGTATATAATAAAATTTATATGCGATGTCATCCCGTACTGTACTTGTCGAATTTTGAACTATTGATTGCAAAACAGTAAGCAACTGTTAGCAGAATAAAAACGGATTTTGATATCAATCTTGTATCCGTTATCTAACTTGTCTTCGTTTTGGGTGCGTCACAATGAATGCAAGTCGACGCTTATTCAACATTCTTGACTTTCCGTTGTCTGTCTCCACCAATGACCAAGTAATTTGACCATCGCATCGTCCTAACGTGTTCTTGGTCAGCCGATTCGACGTTTGCGATCTGACAGAGCCCGGTTTATAATTCTTGCCGTCCATCGGTTGTCGCCCAGGCGAACCACGTTGCCAGCTAGCTTCCCGTCGCAACTTATGAGGCAAAAATGAAATCTATTGATCCAGGCCGTTGTCCAGTTTGCACGTTCGAAACGTCATTTTGAAGAGACACCTGATACATTCTTCGCCCAGTTCCTTTATGCGCGATCATCACTTTGTTCTCATGAGCTGTAGTAGCAGACGAACACTTTGTGCTGTAGATCACAATGGATATAATGGTTGTATCGAACAGTTCTTTCGTCATCCTCACGGGTAGCCCACTGATTATTAGATGACGATTGAAGCTGACCCTTGCCTCTTTTCGCTTTCGACTGATTTCTCCGTCCAGCGACTTCGTGCGGTCCATCGTCGATTTCGGTATTCACAGCCGGTGGCCTATTCGAGTTTTTCGCATTCGCGCAGACAGCGACCTCTGAATGATGTTCGTTACGTATCTGCTTTTTCTTGAAGAGGTTAAATTACAATGCGATGCAGAGATACTCTTCTTGCAACTGCTGGATCTCTTATTGGAAATTCATCGTGTCTCGTACGAAGACGGTGCATTTGTTTGCAAACAACAAGCGCGTTAGCTGCTGTCCGTCGGTGTCGGCGTTGTTATACCAGTTTAGCCGATTAAAAAGTGACTACAATACCGCGTCGACTAGCGCTGCCGAGGTTGTAACTTTTCTTCGCACTCCGCAATGAGTATTAATTTATGGTTATTCATGGTTCGTTGTACAGCTGGATATCAGTCGTGCAAACGGTGTTCAGTCCCTCGATCAGGTGGACGTACGCAGGGTTTATATGCCATGTTCATGCGAGGCGTTTAACACAGAAACCAGTTCTATTGATTCGAACTCTTTGTTCTACTGGATCAAAGGAATACAGTGGTACTGGATATTCATTGTACTTCTCCGTCAGCTGATGCATGAAATGTACGTGGTCGATGATCGGAAGCCCTTAACGAAAACTGGCTTCTTTCCGATTTGTAATTAGTTCTAGGTGTTTCTGATTGCGGTTCAGAATGAGGGTGGTGCATACCGACTGTATCCCTGCATTCGGTGATACATATCTCGAAGAAGACGCAAAATCCGACTGAATTGTGAAATCGATTTTATTTTATCTGCGTTGTGTTCTCGCTCGTTCGCCTGAGTCATTTGTCTGATATCACGTGATTTCTCTCGTCTTTCAGATACTGCCTGTAAATGGACTTTTTCACCTGCCTCAACTGCACATCCACTAATATTCATATCTCGCTTATTGGCCAGTGCCAAAAGTGCTAAATCTCCAGGGTCAGATTAGGCTGATTTTTGTCCCAGCCTGGTCGCAGTAGAAGCGAACGATCAAGTGCACATCGGAGGTCCTAAATGGAGGAAGCGATGGTGAGATCATGTGCACTCAGCATGAGTCGCATCTGTCCAAGTGTTACGTCATCCTTGGTTAGACTGCGTCTGCTGATCCCACCCATAAGGATCATGTCGACATTAGATAACGCGCACTTCGAACAGTTTTAAGTCCGTACAGGTAATCTGCAAGCAGTCCTCTGAGCAGTCGTATGTGGATTTGCCAAGTCTTCCTGGGCGTCCAGAAGCAAAGGGGCGGTACGCAAACACCGAATAAATTCCGTGTTATGAATTGATTTGATATAATTACCGGCGAAATGGAAAAGATACCATTCGTCGTAGTTACCCGACACATCATGGTTGTCTTTTGTTTATGCATTTTTCTGTGGGTAGTAGCACATCTTGCTGTTTTTCAAACGTGTCTTTGTTCAGCGGAACTCACGGATGCATTTCGTATGTTGAAATACCATGGAGTCGTAACCTGAAATAATCCGGTGGGCGATTCGAAGCAAGAGGAATGTGATGAATTGACTTGAGATTTTATTAAACTTGCAAACTTTACTTCTAGTAACATTTTTAGTTTAGTGGAGTTATCTGAAAACTAAGCATGAGTGAGTTGCCCCGGTGTTGTCGGCTATGGTCGTCGCCTGCACTTTGGTCAGATAAAGATTTTTGTAATAACTGCTGCCTGTTGCTGCTTTATATAAAGAAGCTAAATATCCCAGCTACGTAATTCGACGGTCGTTTTTTGAGACGCGTTTCTTTGCGTATGCGCATGCACAGATTCGCAGTCTAATTGTAGTCAAGGCACTGATTGATTTGTCGTCTTGTCGTTGTTGACCGAGTGAGTGGCGCAACCTAATAAATAGTTTGAAGTGGATCTTTCGGATGACTGTCGATGCGTTGAAGGTGTGATCTACTACTTATGTTAGTCACGATTCAGTGATTCGCGTCCAATTACTAGAACGTTTAACATTGGCCTTTGCGAAATTGAATATTGACCGACGTAGCGCTCGATGATTGATTAATGAACCTCCTCGGAGAGAGTTCACAACTCAGATCAGCGTATGCGCCTTTTTCGCTATCGTTTGTCCATCCATCCATCTGTATGTGGGTGATCGGCGTGCAGTGCTCTATCGAGATGTCGCTTGATCATCGTGTCGTCTCTGACCACGTTCGTTGTCGTTGTGTTAGTACGATAATACTTGATCGATCGGATCGCAGACGCTGGCGGAGAGGAGGCGTAGGAGGCAGATGGCAGAGGCTCAGGCAGATGGCGGATCAGGAGGACGTAGAGACGACTGTTGAACGTTTCTCTGATTCGGCTTTCGTTTTTGGACGCATGTCGTTCAAAAACATTCAATCGTTTCGTTATGCCTGTTATCCTGAAACCGTTCTGCTGAAACAAATTCTGATCGCCAAATGTTCGTTGCCGATTCTTGGCCACGCACTCATTTGCCCTCACGTGCAGTCGTTGTTCGCCGCGTTCGCTGTACGACGTGTAAAGTAAATTGACGACTTCGCGCTTCGTGAGTACTTTTTGTTAAGGCTTTGACTGCGTCGAAACTTAGTCACACTTGACTTGCTTGAACGACATAGCAATTGCGCGGAAATGTCACACTGTTATGTCTATCGCGAAAATCCTGCTGGATTTGCACAACAGCTTTGAAGTGTTTTTTTGCCATCAAGTTTTTCTTCGGCAACAACAATACAAACAGCAAGTAGAGACAGTAGACTCGCGCATAGATAAAGTAGACTCGCACGGTTCTGTTGGTAAAGGACACTGAAACGGTTTGAAAAATGTTCATTTAACAAATTTATTTTCCAAAATGCCCGTAACTTACAAAATAGGGGTGTTTTTTAAAAGAAATTTTTACGAATGTAGGCAGTGGTTTTTGATTTAAATTTACAAATATTAGTTTTTTAAGTAGATCGCTTTTATTTTATTATTTAAATGGTTTAGTTCGGATTCGTGTAATGTGCAGTCGCTGTTATATGCAAGCAAGAATCGCAATATCTTACATCTGAAGGTGATGATCCACTTGTGGGAAGAGTCAAACATCGAGTCATCCCATTTTGTTTTTGAATGACAAGCTCTGTTTGAGTGTAGGCATTCCAAAAATCGTTCATATACAAAACAGGAAATGCCACGATCCCAGCACCGAAACAACTCGTCATCCAAGTAAAAATGGTAGGACAACTACACCAGGTTTGACCTTATTCACACAAGTTGTACGCCATCATGAGATGCAGCGTCGTTGCCAGAGTTCCTTCTGACTTGCCAGTGGATAATTACAGATCGAGTCCCCTGCTCATCGCACTACTATCGCAGCCCTTTGAACAGTGTTCGCCATTCGCTTTCTTTCTGATGTCTTGTCCTGTCCTTTGGAATTTGCCTGATTTCCCTCTCCAGCCAAAGTTTCATGTGCCGGCTGTAGCTCTGGTTGACTTCACGAACGAGTGGGCAGTGAGTTGCTGCCGTCGAGAGTGCTGCAAAGTGTTGCAAATACTCTTTCTTTGCCTGATTCCTTTGCACTCTGAGGGATTGGGTTTTCTCTATGAGCCTTGGCAATCCGGTTATTCTCCTGGCCCCAACTAAGCTTTTCTACGAACAGATGGCGAATCCCTTAAGGGTTTTTAAGCTTCATCGATGTTGCCACTTCTCAGCTGGGCTCTGCTGATGGCATTACCTTAAGGTTCCTGTTTACCTTCTTTTGGTAGGCCCACCGTGCCACTTAGTCATATTTTAGTCTGTCAACATCGAACAGCCGATGTGTTTCAACCAGACAGTTTCGATGATACACGGCTAGTTAATGACGGGGTACTGCTACGACCATCTAGTGATCAGACCCGATGCAGGCATCGCACCTGACCGAGTCTCAAATAGGGAGCTGCACCATTTGCTGTTGATGAGGACGTGGTTCAATTGGACATTGGATGTTTAGGCTTGCATCTGGGGACGTTCAGGTAATTTTGTGAATACGCTTATAAGGAGAAAAACGCCAGGCGACATTAAGCTGTTTTGCCGCAATGGCTTAACAGACCCCTGCGGCTGTCATTGGAGCCGCCAGTACCCTGACGGTGGAGTACGCCTGGCCATGTGCTGTACTCGTCGTCCACCCCACGCCCTTCGCGTCGAGGTCGCCTGTGGCAGTGGTGACGTCTTGATGCGGCAAAGGGATGACCGCCAGCAGTCAGAAAGCGTCTTCGGTGCATTTGTCGGAGTATAGCCGACGGTGACGTTCAGCGTCGTCGCTTATTTGGCGTTCACGCGACAGACCTAGATTACCTCGATTCTGTGCGACACCAGTTCCACTGAAATGACCGCCTTACGGGCTTACCTAGAGGCTTACCTTAGGGGACGAGAGGTATAAGCCTACCGGAACGACGTAATCTGCCTTCGCCTGACTACCAAAATGACCGCCATGTTGCAGGTCAAGAGTCCCCGTCCCCGGGACGCGAGCTTTCGTAACCACCAGTACATCGACTTTGTGCCGACGGGCAGTACGGCAGACGTAATGTAACATACTTTCGCCAGACAAGGAACGATGGTTCCAACGAGCAACACGGAGCTTGCTGTGCTGACTGCTGGAATCTCGGATTTTTTGGTTCCTAGTTGTCTGGTCAGCTCATTTCCGTTAGAGCGATAAATTCACCATCGTTCGCTAAGAAATTAACCTGATCTTGGCTTTGGACATCAGCGTGACCTTGGATTGACTTTTAGTCCTACTCTGCTGCCTTCCTCATCGAGTGTTGAGATAACAAACAGAAAACACCTCTGTTAAAAGAGTTTATAACTGACGAACTAACTTATATCAGCTGCGTCGCTGCTTCAGTGGTAAAACCGGATGGTTAAGTACTTGAAACGATATGCTTGAAAGTTAGGAGTTCAAGATTGGATGATTTTTACAATATACCGAGGTTTGAACAGCTGCATCTCCCCACGTACTGCGTTTGCCGTTATGCTGATGGAGCGAACTTCTAGTGGAGAATTAAGCATAGCTTAAAATGGGAGCTACGATTGAACTCTCAAGTAGCTGAAAGTAATCACTCCCTATTCAAGCGTTACTTTGATTGATGTTAGTCATTTCGGCGGTCAACGATTCTGCTTTATAATCGCTTCCAGCGCAAACGAAACGTATTGGAACCCTTTCAATTGAAACGTTTGCATACCTCGTTAATCCGTGATTTGCTTTATTTAATTGCCGCTCCTCTATGCTTCCAGCCAAGTTACGTCCATCGTCGGTTCGACTAATCAAGAAATATGTTTGACTCTGAAATTTTAAGTTTAATATTTCGCTGTGAGACATAATTAATCTGAAAATTAATCACGGCAGCCCGCAAGCCTGGGTCCATGTCTCGTTTTTATCCATTCGATTCGATGTTACCTCTTCATTTCGCCGACCGTCTTTACTCTACGAGAGCAAAATGAGCGTATTTAGCGAATTGCTAGCGAACGACTGGTGAAATTACTCGGTGGCAACCGATCGCTGTCGACGACGAGAGCCGACCGTCCTGGCCTTAGTGACCGCTGGTCGATTGCGAAGAGTAATGAGTCTGTTTTTCGTCATTTTGGTTGCGGACTAGATCGCCTTTTTGTGTTGTGTATCGCTGGCTTGATGGTCATCTTCGGCCATTCGGCGGCCCGCAGCGTCGACCCGCCAACTACTCTATCTTCTGCCAGCTGCTGTGTCCGTCGACTTCCGTGTGTACCAACGTCAGAAAGCCGGCCTCCTCTTTTAGACTGGTAAAAACAACGGTATCTGAGCGCGAAGCGTCCGTATCAGCGACCGGGCAAATACGCGAACCGGGTATGGAAAGGGAATGGTAGAAAACCCAGTGCTCCGTTTCATCTAATGCGCACCTCCAAACGGGTTTAGCAGCCGAGTGTTATGATTATCGTGGTATGATACTACTCTTAACTCCCAGAGAAGTTTCCTCCTGAACTGTCCTGCAAGAGCTGAAGCAAGCAGTTGACGGGAGACTTCCCAAATCAACATGCTTCTGCATGAGGCACACCTGACCCTATCGAATTTTTACTCTGCAAGGATGACTGTGCAGTATCGATGATTGTATTTGCCTTGGTTTGTCCGTTAATTCGATTTTAAGGCTACATTTTCAGCGATGTGGAAAATCTCTAAATGACGTAGGATACTCGATGACGTCGTTTCTATTTTGGAAGAGCTATACGCTCGAACCTTGACTCCTGTAAAAGTTGAAAGAGAGCTATCTGAGTCGTTACCTATTAACTGTTGAGTTCGCCAAGGAGATGTTCTTCCGCCTTTGTTATTCAATTGTGTTCTAGACTTTCTTCTCTGAAACAGGGCTGGCCCTGACAAAGGCGAAGATCTCATTCTAGAGGGAAGGCGCAGTTCATGATAGATATCGTGCTGACCTGAAGTGACCACATGATATTGTCCTTGTGTCAAGTATGGGGAGGGAGTTCTGTCAGCTTATGGCTTTCGTTGCAATACAGCTGTGAAATCCGGCCTCTTCCTTATTGACTTAAAGTCCAAAGTTATGAGTAACCCATCCGGCCCAGCTGGCCTACAAGTGAAGCAGAAAGATAAAGCTGTTCAGGTTGTTGACTAATTTAAGTATCTCGACTCCATCATCTCCATCGATGGCGATATCTAGCCGGAGTTAAATGGGAGGACTGCCTAGCTTCGAGTGCGTTTGGAAACCTGTCCAATATGTGGACTGAGAAAGAAGTTACTCTTCCAATGAAAAGTCTCCTCGGCATTGCCTCTGTCAGGTCAGTATAGCTGTACAGCATACAGGCATTTTTTTTCAAATCAAGGAACTGGAGCGACGGTTGAACTGCGTAAGGCAACGTTGGCTTCGACGCATAATGAGGATTAAGCCGTAGCACATGTAAGAAATGACTCTATGCTTTTTCGCTTACAGGTGTCCTGTGCAAATGTGGATATTAAGAAGAGGAGGTTAGCCCTTTTAAACAAACTGGTTGACGATCGCCGTTTGCTCCATCCCGCGAGCGTCTCGAATGAGAACCGCAAAACGACAGACGTCGACCGGTGGGCCAGCATGCCATCTGTATTGGTAAGATAGAGGCAGGTCTATTTTCAGCGAAGTATATTTCCTTCTGCGATGCAGTAATCGGTGCCGTGTGGTATACATGTGATAAAACTGAGAACACAATGAACATCGCGAACCTGAGACGTTCCCCTTATTCAAGCGACTCAAGGAGATGGTCAGAAGCACGCGTTTAGCTGGCTGTACAGCTGATTACCAGGTCTTATGAGAGTGTAAGAGACCTGAGTGGAAAAGAGCCGCGCTCGGTCTCTAT